CTTTTATCAAAAAAAAAATAATATTTATCCTAATAGCCTTAGGCCTCTATCCTTTCCACAAATGCTTTCATTAAATTTTATTGTTCTATTGCTCTTTGAACCATATCTAACTGTTAAGCTAGTTTAGCAAAACAATAAATCACCCAGCAAGAGCATAGTTCAAGTTACAGCGAACAAAGTATCAAATTACATCATACCTTGTAGAGATTTTTTTTCTTATTAAACCTAATAAGTTTATAATTTTTACATTTTGAATATTTTTATAACAATAACTAGAATGTATACATAAACACAAGAAATTTAGTACTTATATGTTGGCTCTTGCACTCGATGTTCAACGTCTCATCAAAACTTAACTTTTTTATGGTAGGGTTGTTTGTGGTATGTAAAATTACTTTTTAACATAAAATATAAGTTAGAACACAAAATATTAACATGCAATGAAAAAAAACAATGTCCTAAAACTATTATAATTCAAATGGCTTTATAACTAAGCTACAAGTGTGTTAAAATAATTCCTTTACTTGGTCGAGGTTATCTCCCGGATAGCAATAATGAAATAGTCGGCCAAATAACTCCAAAACTGTCATCGTGATACAGAAATCAATAAATGAAAATCTTCTCTTTCTATTGGTTATAAATAATCCAATAACAAATGTCTGAGAGAATAATGACATTTTTTTGAAAGACAGGATGTGATAGGATTGCGTGGCACATGGGTTTGACCTTTTAATTTATACCACAGCAAAGCAAAAAATTAGAGATATAAATTTCTGGCTGAGCAATAAATATCTATTATTTAGGCATTTAATTTAAGCTAAACTTGGGATATCATGAAGGGGGTAGAAAAAACATCTAAAATGAGCAATTTGGAGTGAAGAAGTATCATGTGATACAGAGAAGTGAAGACTGAAAATTTATTTAAATATTTCCCTTTGAAATTAAAACTTATATCAAAATCAGAATCATAAACTATGTCTTCATGTCACGTTTATTGACAAACATTGATGATAAAGTTGTTTAATTAAACTTTAAATGTAACTCTGTAAAAGATAATGACATGCGCAGACCCCTACCCATTCACATAGGGTTAAAAGTCACTGGCTGAAGCACAACTTTCACATTGAATGTACTAAAAACATTCACTAAACATTTCTGTTCATTAACTATTTCCAGGTGGGGAAAGTTTCCTGAAATATTTTGATTTTTTTAATTGCAATAAATTTAGTACAGACTCAATAAATAGTATCTAACTTTTCCTTAAACAAATTCACATAATTTGATTTAGTATTTCACTATGACATCATAAAAAGGTAGCATGAAGGGCTGTAGTAATAAAACCACTAACAGAGAAAGAATAATCATGTGACGAACAGGATATGAATCATTATATTTTCAAGGGATGATAGATACCAAATATAAAACTATACTTGTAAAACTATAATACTAAATACATTATTTACAGGTGAGGCTCTTCAGAGCTGTGAAACTTTTTTTTTCCACTTTTCATTACAAAATACACAAAATAAACGTTACAGAATGATAAAATATCACTCCTAAAATACTTTTGTGTTTTTAAACAGAATTCAACTTATTCCTTTTGGTTATGTACGAGTTGCACTTGACACCTGAATGGTGTTCACCAGTCGTGATAGGGTTAAAGTCTCAAACACAAATAAATACTTACACCTACTTCCCGAGGCCAAGGTTTGTCTATCCATCAACCTGTCCTTTGTTCTACTGGTCTCACTTGAAGACTTATGAGCACCCTGCTTCCTAAACAACAACAAAAAATATTTTAAATAAATGCAATTTCTTAATATTAAGTTCTGCATGATATGCAAACATAACACTAATAACTATTATTGTCTTGGCAAGTAGATAGGAATATGACAATTCATCATAACTGTTATAGTAAAACATTATGTTTAAATAACATTCGTAAAAAACAAACAAAAACTGTACTCTCAGGTAGTTTACACACAATAAATTTTCAATATACAAGAAATCACACTACAACAGTCTAGGAGAGCTAAGATCGTTTAACTATTCAAAGATTTAAAGATGAAAAAGAAAAGGATTTTCAGATGGGAAAAAAGCAAGGAAATGACCAATCTTTCATTATTAGTGTATACTATACGAAGCTCTATGTGTCTACGTTCATGACAAATAACACAAGCAGAAGATATTAGCACAAAGTCAAAATTAGTGTACATTTACTTTTAGTTATGACTCTGAACCAGCTGTAAAGTCATCAGGTAATTAAACCATTAACATATAGTAACACCAAAATATATGAAACAGCATGAATTAAAAACATCAGCAAAGTTGGTGATGTTTTAGACTAGTAGATTAAAACCATGAATTTATTAAGTAATCTGCCATGCTTAAAAGAAACGCTTCAACTACAATACATTACTTGTAATTTTTCCATTTACCTATGTAGCATTTCAATGTATAAATTACAACTGCTGTTTTCATATATTTTTATTAAATATTTTTTTTCCATCTAATTTTGGTGATTATCTGTTAATCAAATAATATGTTGAAATGCACTGTAACACACATTTGTGTTCCACCATAATAACAACAATTTTCCATGATTTTCACAATCTTATTATAATGAAGCTTGCAATGTATATATCCAAAACCTGGATCTTGGAAACTACCGCACTGATCATCACCAATCATAACTGGGTAATATGTTTATAACTAGGCAGTATTTTTACAGCTGAGCAGTAAATAAACCAATTGAAATTTCCACAAAAATGATATGTTTCAGATTTAACCAATAAAAATTACAAACAAAAAGGAGTAAGTTTCGAACATAAAATGCTCAAAAAACAAAACATAGAGAAAAATTATTTATTTTTCTTTAGTGAAAATCTCATGAGTGTTGTAACAGAAAAGCAAGGCACTTTCATCGATAACTACAAAGAAATACTTCAATAAAATCTACTTTGAGATGTAATGCTGTGATGATAACTCATTTTTAAACTAAAATCTTTTTCTCATGAATGGTGAACATTACTAAATGTCACGTATGAGTGCATTGTTCTAGAACTGTCAGACAATCCCAGAAAAGGCCTCAGACCCAATAGCCTTCAGTAGGAACTAGCAGTTATACCTGCCCAGAGGGTGGGTATTTCTGCTA